ATGCCACTAAAGTAGGCGTCTATAGTGGCGTTTGTATAAAACACTGCAAAAGTACTACTCTATAGCGACGTTTGTATAAAAACGCCACTAAAGTACGAGTCTATAGCAGCGTTTTGTATAAAAATGCCACTAAAGTACGAGTCTATAGCGGCGTTTGTATAAAAACGCCGCTAACGTTACCATTTTGTGGCGTTTGAAATGTAAACGCCGCTATATGTTTAAAGTTAGTGGCCTTTACTCTTAAAATGCCACGAAAAATGCCGCTGTAGAACATTTTTGCTGTAGTACCTAAAAAACCCATTAATAAAAGTGACAATAATTTTCTCATCTCTAATAATTGTTTATTTTAACTTTCGTTATCGATAAAGTATATCACTTTCCAAAACAAGTAATCTATATCTAGTACTATATTCAGTGTACCCAATAAACATGCAATCATATATTTTAGGGTCAAATATTGTTAGGAATTTAGGAGCGAAAAAAATAACTAAAGTAAAATCAACGTGAAATAAGACATGAGTAAAAGATAAGATTTAATATGATTCGATCTTATTTACCTTCAAGGATGAGCAGAACAATGATTCATTATAAACTTAGAAATCACGAATAGTACAAATACATTAGATCTCATGTATCCCTAAACCAGACAAACTTGATATATCCTAAAACATTCTCACAACTAGGGATGCTTAATAAGTTGAGCAGCTCGTGAGTTATTCGAACTTGACTCCATCAACTCTTGACTCAACTTGACTTGACTCGTCATCAAACTTGACTCGAGATCTTAACGAGTTGAGACAAACAATGTCCAACTTGACCCAATAAGTTCGCAAACAATACGTTAATTTTTACAAATTATATTATTATTAGCATATAAAATAAATCATAGTAATATAAATTTATTAATTAAAATGTCACACGGATCGTCATATAAAGGACAACTAATATTGCATATTTTACAAGAAAAATCGTTAAGGACACCATTAAATCACATATTTAGTCATCTATTACAAAACCCATTACAACCGTGCTTAGACGTGAATATTGATACAATGCACAAATCTTATCAAAGCAAAATTCTTGTAGTTGATTAATCAAACAAATTCAATATTCATACACATTCAAATCAGACAAAAGCATCAACTCATGTCTAATATCTGAATTAAACCAAAAGCTCAATTTTATGATCATTACCAAAAAAAAAAAACTATGACCATTTTAAATTCTAAAAGTGTTTAATATAAATCCTTAACTGAAACATGTATTAAAATTATAAAACTTTTAAAATGAATAAATTAAAAATAATAAAAATTAAATTTATTTCTAATGATTTGATTTGATATGATAAGATATTAATACCATTTATTAGAATCGAAATAAAATTAATGTAAACATACAAAAAACCCTAATCTTTTAAGCATTTCGGCCCGCCACTATTGACAACTTGTTGAACATGCAAAAATACAATTATTGACAACTTGTTCAATATGTCAAAAATACAGATATTGACAACTTGTTCAATATGTCAGAAGTACAATTATTGACGTGACCTCGGCGGTTATCTAACATAAAACGACACCGCACAGCTATTTGATCTTTGACACTTTTTCATTAAAAGATGAGATGTTTTTGTCCCTGGGACTTTGATAACCTTTTTACATCTCACTCAATTGGCGAGTGATGAGATGAATTCAAATGTGAAAATTTGTCAAAAATAAATAAATAAATCTGAAATATTTTAAATCTGATAAATCTGAAATATTTTAAATCTGATTAAATAAAAATAAAAAATATAATTTTAAAATATATAAAATTCAAAATAATATAAACTTAAAAAAATCTTAGTTCAAAAACTTAAAATCATGATATAATTTACCCAATTTAACACTTCAAATAATAATAATAACTAAAATAATTTATCTAATTTAATACTTAAAATATTTTTTATCTTAATTTATTGAAAACGATGTCATTTTAGTGTAGCGTACACGTCTACAACTGTCAATCATGTCATCGTATTGCTACTGAATTAACGGCATGGTAATATTATTGAAGTAAAAAATAAAGTTCAATGACATAAATGAAGAAATTAAAAGTTCAATGATATAAATGAAGAAATTAAAAGTTCAATGATATAAATGAAGAAATTAAAAGTTCAATGATATGAATGATAAACCGTCTAAAATTCAACGATATATGATACAGTTTACCCTTATTTAAAACACGCAGATCTTGGACTATATTGATACAAGCTGGTTTCTCCTCGAGTCTGTGGTTATCGATGTTGATGGGGGGTTTAGATGTGGACCTACATTCATGGTTCTCCTCTGCAATAGGCGCAACATCTATCTTCATGAAGGACGTGTACTTCCGGGATGGTATATTGTCATGGTCTCCAATCGTTCTTCCTGGCTGCTATGGACGATTGTTACCTATTTCGTCCTCTTCTGCAACAACTTGGTGTCGCCCACCTGTTCACACCGTTAAGATCAACGTGGATGAGGTTTTCATTCCTGAATCTGGGGTGGTTGCTATTGGTGTTCTTGCCCGAGACATGTATGGCATGGTCATTATTAATGACTAGTATGTTAATATATTGTCCTTTCAAAACACACACAATCCTTTTTATAAATATAAATTAAAGTTTAAGTCACTCATAATGAATAATGAAAATTAATATTATAAAATATATATTTGATAAGTGGGGATTATTTTGGGAGTGGGTAATTCTTTTTAAAGAATATCTCATTAAAAAGTTTTCAACAATTGGATTAACATTTTTTTATTAGTGCCTTCAAACTCAATCCTAAACTGGACTCTATGACCAAAATAATTGGATAGGAGAATTTAAGAAGAATGGACACTGAACCCATCAGTTTCAAGCCCAAGAGTTCTTAAAATTAGTTCATTTGATGACCCAAGAACCAGGTAATAAAACTTTAACCTAACAATACTGAAAGTAGTGTTAATTTCTTCTGAACTAGAGAATCAAGAGATTCAATTAGGGATGTAAATGGGACGAGACAGATTGCGAGTTATTCGAGTTTGATTTAATTTAAATTTAATTAATACTCAATTCGAATGTATTCGATTCGAGCTCGAATTCAATTAGAGTTCTTAATAAGTCGAAACGAGCTATTTAATACCTTAGTCGGTTAAAGCTCAGTCAACACTTGATTCAAATGGATTTGATTCAAGCTTGAACATGATTCGAGTTTTTAACGAGTCGAAGCGGACTACTTAATATTCTAATTGAAAAGCTCGTGAATAACTTGAAAAAATAATATATTTATTTTTTGATTTTTTAAATTAAATTATTAATAATATTAACATTTATATGTTTTTATTAAAAATAAGTTTAAGGTTTTCATGTACTTAAGATTCAGGCTCAATCTCGAGTTCAAGCTTCAATCGAACTAAGTTTGAGAATGTTCCGAGTTTAAGTTTTTTTTTTTCGAGAGTCGAGCTTTAATTTTTGGTTTCAAATTCGAATCAAGTTAGATAATTTTAAACTCAAAAACTTTTGAATTGAGTCAAATTCAGTTTTAAAATTTTTCGAGTCAATTCAAATTCAATAATACTCAAACTCGACTCAACTAATCTAGTTTACAAGTTACAATCCTAATCCCGTAAATAATTCATACGAATCCAATACTTGTTCTAGGAATATTACAATACATTCTCTCTTCCCTTTCTCTTTCCTTTCTCTTTTTCCTTTAATTTCTCTCCTGATTCACCAACTTAACTCTCCTCTATGGCAATATCAATCTCAAAACATGTAGTGTTCTTCCTCTCATTGTTAATGAACGCCTTCTCGTTTGCTCGAGGACAGAGCTGGTGCGTGCTCGGAGTGATGCAAGTAACCAGCCTCTGCAAGCTGCACTAGACTATGCATGCGGCTACGCTGCTGACTCCAACTCTATACAGTCCGATGGGCTCCGTTTTCTTCCGAACACCATTCAGGCTCATGCTTTCAATAGCTATTACCAGCATCGAGAAATGTTGCCTGGTGCTTGTGACTTTGCTGGCACTGGCACTGTTGCCAAAACTGACCCCAGTTTATTCTTTGAAACCCTTCAACTTTCTTTTTTTTTTTCGTTTTCTGAATGGTTTTTAGGACTGGGAGTTTGCTCAATTCATCATGGTTTTGCAGGTTATGGATCTTGTATGTGCCCATCTTCTCAAAGGTATGAATATTTGTTTTTTTTTTCCACTTGAAACAACGGTACATTTCCTCAGTAGCTGTTGAAGGAATTTGCTCTAATTTCTTCAGTTTCACGCATTCTGCTGATATATTTTTTTCCTATATACAGCACCAGTAGTACTGGTAAATAGTAGTACTGATATATTCCTTCGATTCTCTGCATGTTGTGATTGAATGGATGTATGACACGTGTTTCTCTGCATGTTATCTTGATATCTAACCGTTCATTTTTTTTAAATTTCCCGACGACAGTCGTCACTTTTGTTTCTTTTAAACCATTTGGATTAATGTAGTTCATATTGCTTAACATGTTGCTCTATAGTTCTTGTCTATGCAATTATTGTGATTTTAAGTTTTTAACAGCTTGGAGTCATGAAATTTCCAGGTCGGCAGGTGGGATTGCTACATTGGGGTCAGGGTCACGAAACAACTCGAACGTACCAATGATGACTACAACAACTACACCGATTAACAGCGGAGATGGCGGTATTGGACTAGATAACCCTGGACTGGCCCCTCCATTTCCCACAACAGGTGAGCCCAAAGCTTCATTAGACTGCATAGTAACCACAAGCTCAATGTTAAACATGCTCTTACCTGTTCTATCATTTAAACCATGGTGGGAATAGGCGTTTTTGTTAGAAATTGGAGCCTTCTTTCTTAGAGGCTTCAGGTCATCTAGAGATCAAATTAAGCTCAGCCGGAGCTAATGTCGCGGTGAAAGGTATCGGCCTATGTCCGCGGAGTTGAAGTCTTTCACATGATTGTATGTAAAATTCAAGCATATATCATTTATTATTATTAACAAATCGGATGATTAAGTCTCAGACTTTGAGTTTAATCATCTCAGGTTCAACAGGGCATCTAACAGGTTGCCTTACAATATAAACCATATCGCCAACAGTCCCGTAAGCATCTTGATTGCGGTGCCATGTCCACAAAGCATGAGTCTCATTCTTCACCTGCAAATTATTCACTTGTTAATTCATATGTTATGCAAGTTTTTTTGAGCAAAAGTATCTGCAGCAAACCTCTAGGATTCCATGGCCAAAGCTGCTTTCTCTATATGCACTATAATCAGGCTGCCTGTCCCAACAGAATTTTCCAGTTGCCGGACCCGATGTGAAGTTAAACGCACAGTATCCACCCATGAATTTATCCGGAGTCGTTGACGGTTCCGGACAATTCCCGGGTTCTTTGGCATGTGTGATCGCCATTTTCTCTCGGTTGCCGCCATCACCAATTGTGATATGAACTAGACCGCAAGGATCCAAGTTGTAATTATACACCCGGTTCGACCTCTCATAGGCATGAACCTATTGATTATTACCAAAAGAACACACAATCATCAGTTATCCAAGTGAATGTAATTTGTCTTTGACAAAAGAACTTACATGTCCATTGAAGATAATGTCAACTCCATATTTGTATAACAAATCCTCCATTGCTACTCTCATACATTCTGCTTCTCTATAGTGTGCAGTGTATGTGCTGTACCATGGAGGATGCCATGTCGCAACCAACCATGGCGTCACTTTTCTATCGACTTTCGCAAGGTCCGTCTTCAACCACCGGTATTGATCCCCTGTTAAACGAATATACAGATTAGCTCCCACGACACTCGGTTTCACGAGTGTGCTTGATACATGATACCTGATTTGTTGTAATCAGCGTAGCCACCGAGCATCACGAAATGAATGCCACCGGCATTGAAAGAATAGTAGAACGTTGATGACGATCCACTCTCTTCAGATGGAAACGCGAATCGAGCACTATAAGCCGCGAATGTCTTGTTCTCGATCTGTTCTTCGATTTCATGGTTCCCTTCTACCATCATCAAGGGAACTTTAGACACCAGAGGTTGCATAAATCTGATATATCAAGCAGACACCACGGATTTAAATTACAAACTATTTGTTACATTACGTTGCGACTGTTATTTAAATTCGCAAAAAAAAATCACTGAAATCACCTTCCCCAGTAATCCCAACGAGGCTGATAAGTTTCATGGATAGGGGTATCAGGAAAAGAGCAAGAGTAGCAGTCGGCACCGGTGCCATTGGTGAGATACAAGTTTGCGTAGCTTGCATCGCCGATTAACAACACGAGGTCGGGATTGTTGCTCATCAGGTGATCGATTGTTGAAGTCGTATTATAGGTAAGCCCCAAGTCTCCGATGATTGCGATTCTTGCCGGATAACTCCTCGGACCAGAGGCCGGCATTGTCCTGAAATAGTGTACATCGCTCATTGCTGGGATTGAAGGGTCTCCACATTGATAGTAGTATAAGGTGTTGGGTTTCAAACCTGTAGAGTTCATCTAACGTGATAGGATCACCAAAATGTAATTCAAATATAATACAATACAATATGAAAAATTAAGTGTTAATGTAATTTTTTATTCTTTAATTGGATAATTTGATTTATTTTAATACTTGGTTTTCTTTGTTTATATTAACGTCTGAATTTGATAATATTTTTTTTAATTTAATATTCGAATATAAATTTTTAATTCATTTAATAATATAACATTTAAGATCATATGGCATTATCATAAAAAGAATGATAATCTACAGTCATAGTTACCATTTTATTGCTTCTTTTCTATTTTGATTACTGAATTAATTTTTTCTACCAAAACATCACTAATAAGGAGAGAGAAAACGATATACAAATTAAAAAAAAATCTACATCAACATCGTCGTGAAATATTTAAAAATCAATAATCAAAACATAAAATAATATTAATAATACTTTTACAACAACAAAAAATTAATCCGATAATTAAAATAGGAAAAAAAAACAATAAACCGATATCCATTGTTGCAATCTATTCTAAAAAAGAAAATAATTATCACTTTAATTTCCACTAAAACTGGGTGCCCAAAGCTATGCCACAATTTCAAAAGAAAGATGTAAAGCAAACCAATTTGTGGAAATTATCATATAGTTGTAGATAATATATAAAAGTTGGTGCCATTACTTTCTAATCCAAAAAAAAATATTGATCATTTGCTCACATACTTATTTCGTTTGGTCTGTTTAATTTTCTGTCATATATATTATTTTTAAAAAATATATATATTACGAGTATAATTATAAAAACAATCAAAATATATTTAAATTTAAACTATATAGAACCTGAATATAGATGGGAAGAAAGGATCTTTGAATGGTCATATCTGAAAATTTTAAATTCACATATAATTTACGTATTTCTTTTATATTTTTATTAATAATTTATTTTCGCATAATTAAATTTTTTAAAGGTTCATACTCCTAACATAAAATTATATGTACATCACCATTAACTAAATTTATTAATAAAATCGTTTATAAAAAAAAAGCAAAAAGAAATTATGACAAATACGTACCAGTAAGTCTAACGTGATGAATAATTCCAGAGGTATAGTTTTGGAGGCCTTTGAAAGAATAAAGTTGGCTATAAACCGAAGAGTGGCCTATTGCTTTACTTGTCATTGCAGATCTCCACTTCCCATATCTTACAATGCTTCCCACTGCTTTTGGATCCCATTCTTTTATATTTTCTCCTATTTGAAATTCTCCTGCATTTTTTTATTTCAATTAATATATCCGAATAATTCTAATAAAAACAATGATCTCCTAATTATAATATATTATTTTATTGAGTCTCTCGATTATAAGACACTATTTTATTGATTTTCACGACTATCAAAAGTTACAAAATAATTACTCGATATGTTCTAAACTCGTCCTTTTTCATTCAAAAAATTAGTGACCATCTAACTTGGACGTTAACCTACTCATTGGGAGATGATAAAATTTGATCCCAAAATTGTTAGAGTTATGTTTTATGGATCGAGTCTCTGTTTACATTAGGTCATCGAGCTAGTGCTTGAAACATTATGTTGTCGAGTCGATGATTGAAAGCAACGGTAGTGCCCGTAGACATCATTAAAATATGATTTTATCATATCTTGATCAACATGTTAACATCTACTTTAGACGACCATCAATTTTTTAACGAAAAAATATTAGTTTAGAACATATAAATAGTCACATGATTATTTTATAATTTTTAGTAATTGAAAGACTTAACAAAACAATATTATATAAGTAAAAGATAATTTTATAAATAATCGAGGAATTTAATAAAATAACATTATGCGTGTACTTTACCTATAATATATGTAGGATTAATAATTCAGTGATCAGCAATTAAGAACTAATTTGAATTGACTAGAAAACAGAATTAAAAATTAAAGATTCTCAAGACTTCCAAAATTTAATCTGTACGAATTTTTTTTTATTAAACCATAATAATTGAAATCTTAACTTCAACCCACATGACTCTGTCTCCTTTGTATTTTTAATGTAACAGTCTCAGGTTACAGATAATATATATATAGATATAGATATATATTAATAAATCAGTTGTACTTTTAAATTTTAGGGTAAACTATTGATCTCTGTTTTGAAAACCGGACCGGATCGGCCGGTTCAACCATGAACCGTTGTTTAGTCCGGTTTAATCTAAACCGGTTGAACCACTATTAGTGAACCGGTCAGAACCGTTGAACCATTCGAACCGGATCGGCTAAAAACCGGAAAAAATCAGGAAAAACCGGGATTTTTGTTTTTAAAAAAAAAAATTAAACCAAACAACGTCGTTTGTTAAACGAGCCAAGTCGAACTCGAGTATTGCTGAGCTCGACTCGAACTTGAAAACTTTAAAAGTAAGCTCAACTCAACTCAAACTCACAAGCTAAAAATTATCATGTTCAACTCAAACTCGAAATATAATATTGAAACTTGAACTCAAAAAGGCTTGAACTCAAAAAAAATTAGAAGCTCGATTGAAGCCTAAAATTCGAGCTTGATTGAAGTGAAAGAATAGTTCACTCAATGCTCACTAAAATGCTCCATGATTTTGAATGTCAAATTACCTCTATTATTTATAGAAGTTAGTTGTGATGCGCTTCTATGTTTCTTAGCAATGTGAGATTGTTTTGTTCTCATATTTTTACTCTTTAGACTTTTGGGATGCTCTTCTATGTTTCTTAGCCATGTGGGATTGTTTTTTAAAAAAATTAAACCAAACAATATCATTTTGTTATGATTTTTTTAACTCCAAATTTATTTTTTAATTATAGTTATATAATTATATTTATTATTTAATATGTTTTACCTTAAATATTATGTTATAGTTAATTTGAATCATTTTGTTTCACTTGATTTTATGGTTTTTAACTTATATATGTTATGACTTGCTTTGAATATGACTTGTGATATAAAAAATTATTTTTTATTAAATATTTTTGGTATTTTTATTTAATTTTTTAAATAATTATGACGTCGTCCGGTTCTTCCGACCGGTCGGACCGGTTCGACCGGTTGAACCAGTGAACCTGTAGCATGACCGGTTCGCTAACTGGTCCGGTTCTGAAAACCATGCTATTGATTTAATATCTCGTTTATTTTTATATTTTATTTTGGTCATTAAATTATTACTCAATGTTATGGTTTATATTTATTTTGATAATTCTAGTTTAATTATCTAATTATAAAGATAATAATTTCGAATATTATAATATACAGAATATACAAATATTCTATATTCCATATAAAAATAGATTTTAAATCGCGTCCAATAAAATTTTAACCTATATCCATAATTAAACAAAAATAATAATGTGACGTGATATAATAAAAGTTTAGTCTCTAAAACTTACACATCCTATCAAATGGGTCTTACTTCAAAATAATGCAATAAATCTTAAAAAATTAAAACTCCTATTCAAAATTTGAAAAGTTATTAATACTTTAATAATAATTTAGTAATGATTTTTTTGTTTTTATGATTTAATAATTTAATAATGCTTTTTAACTATCGATGATTTGATACATTTTTTTAATTAGGATAAATTTGATAGAATATGTAAATTTTGGGATTAAGACTATTATTATTCTATGCCACATCATTATTTTTGTTAAGTCAACAATCAAACTTAACAACATAGTATCAAAATAAAAACAAAATACAACATTAGATATGATTTCGAAAAGAAAATAATTAGATGATAAAAACAAATTTCGAGAGTAAACAATTTACTTTAAATTTTATAAAATCCATTAAAATTATAAAGCAATATGGAAAATATCAAAAATAATTTTTTAAATATTCAATAATTAAGTCTTTAACTTAAAATTATATGCTTTAATATTTGAAAATGTATTACATATTATTATAGTATGCATGCGTTATCCATATGCAACTTTTTTAATGGGGGATGGTGATCGGTTTCAACTTTCTAAAGTTATAAGACATGCATCCCAAATTTGATTATTGAATATTCAATTAAATGTATAACTTAGAGAAAGATAGATGAAGAAATAAACCTGTAATCCAAGAAATCCATGCCGAGTCATGGTTTGAAGAAAGAGACACCGAGATTTGCTCAGGCTCCCAGCCTGTGGCGGTCCTTTGAATCCGAGGATCGTCTTCGGGCAAATCGATGGCATGTCCTCGGAAACTCTTATCGAGAGGGACCGTTACGGGCTTGAAAGGTCCATCAGCTGTACTTGGAATCGCTTCCCCATTAACAAAACTGCTTCGCATTACAACCGAAACAAATACTGCAACGATGAACAAAGGAACTAACCTCATATCTTAAACCTCAAAAAAGCAAAGATCTTATAGAGAAACAAAAGGAAGCAGCTGACGAGTATATATATGTTAAGAATTTAAGAACGGAAGTAATCGAAGCGAAATCAACGTCACAGGTACAATATAATCAAGCTGCAAGTTTCATGTATATATAAGAGGAGCTCATCATGTGGAAAATACATAGTGCCGTTGAAAATAAATGCAAAAGGAAGCTGAAAAGGAAACTGTTTTTTTTTTAAGAAATCACTAATTTTTTTTAAAATAGAAAATCTTAAATTACAATAAAATTTACAACCATAATCATAAATTAAGCATATAATTAAGACAAATTCCTATAATCGTTGAAATATTAGCAACTAAATATTACATAAGGACCATATAAGGAAAGATTAAAACCTAACCAAGAAAATTTGAACAAAGATAGATACAAATAGATCTGATCGCATCGGCAAACGAACCACAAAGGAGATCAAGCTACTGAAAGACCACCGAAAAACGGCAAAATAGATTCAAGCGATGTGAAAAACTATCAATGAACGAATAACAGGTATCCAAATCCAATATGAGGGTGTAAAGCAGGGAATATCAACAATAAAACAAATAAACGTCATCTTCATCAATCGTGACAATTTCTAATCAACCTTTAAAAAAGATGAGTGAAAAAAGCAGTCAAACGATCGAAAAACATGCCAAAAGGTGGAAGGAAACATGCCATAAAAACAGAGGAAAACGTGTCATACAGGTTGACTTGTTGAAAATTTAAAAAAATACAAGATAAAATAAAATGACAATAAAGAATACCGACCGTCGGCATTTAACATTAAAACTAATGTCGTTGTCGATCAACAAAGATAAAAAAAATGAACGTGTTTACCCATGAGAGAATTAAGAGAGAGAAAATCCGGTATGTGTTTTGTTTTGAATTAGTGGTTATTATGCTAATGATAAAAGGAAACTGTTTTTTGCATTGAGTGAAACAAGATTAATATATTAATACATCATTTTATTAGATTAACATTCGATGTTCGTTAAATAAAGTTCCGAGTTGGAGTTCGAATGGTTAGGTTTTTCTTACGTAACGGAACCATCTTTGTTTATCAAAAAGAGGAGTGAGATGCGCATCTTTTCCTGGTATAATGCTTTACGTATCTTATTCAACATTAATTAGTTTATTGAATTTCGTCCTTTACTTTGAAATGTTATAACTAGTTAACAATTCACTGTCTTGACTTTGAATTCTTCTTTGCTTATTCCTATAGCAATCTTCCATTTGATCAAAGAAATGACATTGGGACTATAGGTGATAAATTCATGATATGATGCTTAACAAAGCTTGTAAATTCATAGTTAAGCTAATTGACAATATGAATCAAAGAAATGATAATGAAGCTAGGATTGACTCTTAAGGGGGATAAATTGCATAAGGACCTAAAAGGTATTTAAACAAAAAATTGAGGGAGGCAAAAGCTTAATTTTATTAATATTCAAACATGTAGGAACTAAAATTGAAATAAACCAAAAAAATTGGGGGAGGAGTATTGGCCCTCTCATGTTTATACATGGCTTCCTTACCAGTTTAGAAGGCCGCCGAGCTTATGCAATACTTGATTTAGATTAATTGATTCATAGATCAAATAGTGTTAGTTATATCAAATAACTTATATTATAATCTGGCATAGAAAAGCAAAATTCACACTATCAATATAATATATTTGGTATCAAAATGAAAATTAAACTATATTTTAGATACCTAAAATGCAATTAACCCCAACTTTAGTTAACATATTTAAAGCGACTTCCCAAAGGCCCAAATTTAGTCCCTAACATGAAATCAGTCCCCTCTATTAGACATTAACAACCCAAATAAAGGCCCATTTGATAAATACATCATTCTTTCGGTCAATTCTTTTGGGTAAAGTTCAAAAAATAGGAATTTCCACATAATTAAACTAATTTTCAAATAATTTCCTTTTTCTAAGTTAAAAATGGTGAGCTGACTGTGTATGCCCACCTAATATATATACTATATATATATGTGTGTGTGTGTGATTTTTGTATTTAATCTTTGTTCTTTACTTTGGGTATTTTTGTACTTGTATTTTTTAAATTTTAAAATTTTAGTCTTAACTTAAATAATAATCATAAAATTTATTTAGCCAAATTCTACTATTAGTACGCTAATCGTTATATTATGCGTAAGTTATAGAATTTATTTATATTTTTTTTGGATAAATCTGATTATATTACCCGAACAAAGTTTAAGTACAACCTATTAACCAATCAACAGTGTAGAACCAAAAGAAACAGCCTATATAAAATGATTGGTTATGCTATACCTCAAGCATTACAAAGCTTTAAGTCAGTACTATCAAGTCTATTGATATTAGTTCCCCCAAGACGGATTTCAACAACGTCCTTAACCTCTTTTAGCAAGCATTCGATCGTTCTACTCCGTCCTTGAAAGATTCTCTGATTTCTTTCCTTCCACAAGGAGTAAATAACAGCAGTCCAGGAAATTTTCAAAATTGTCGTAAGGACTTCCCTTTCCAAAGTGAACTAGCCTTTATGACCATTTCATTCCATGATAAGAAAGTTGTCTTCATCCCATTTAGGTTCAGAATTGAATTCTAGAGTTCCACTGCCATTGTACATTGTGAAAAAATACGGTCCCTTGACTCGTAAGAGTTACTGCAATTAACGCAAACATTGTCGGTGCTAATTCCCATTTTAAGAAGTCTGTCTCTTGTAGGCAGTTTGTTGAAAAGAGCCATCCAAGCAATCAAACTGATTTGCGGAATATGCATTGGGAACCAAATCAGTTTATGCCAAGTAACAATCTGCCCTTTGCTTCGAATCAAGCCCCAAATTTCCTTAACTTGTGGAGAACCGGCAGAAAGGATTGGAAAAGCTTCAGCCTTTAGCTTTAAGATTCTATTGGTACTCCAACTCAAATTAGCAACTGCTTTATAATGCCAAAAGTCCTGCTCCTTAAAAACATAGGCCTTAAGCCAAGCTACCCACAAAGAGCCGTTTCCCGCTAAAATTTTCCGGATTAGAGTAATGAGACAAGCTTTGTTCCAAGTTTTAATGTTCTTCAATCCGAGGCCACCTTCTGATTTGGAAACACAAATGTTATCCCAACTCACACGAGCACCAGCAGCAGATTTATCTGCTCATTTCCAGAAGTACCTAGAATAAAGTTGATCCACTTTTTTAAGAATAGAAGTTGGCAGGACTAGTTGTCTGCACCAGTAGTTGCTGACATTGAATATGACTGATCTGATGAGCTATAATCGGCCTGCATAACTTAGATTTCTGCTAGACCAGTGATGAAGCTTGAGCTTGATACTGTCGATTAACGCTTGGCAATCTTTTTCAATAAGTTTGCGGGTGACCAGGGGAATACCAAGATAACGGATGGGAAGACTTCGAATTTGAAACCCCGTGATAATTCTTAAATTCTCAACGGTTCTTGAAGGAATCCCCGCAGCAAAGATTTCACATTTGGCAGGATTCAGTTTAAGCCTAAAGACTTCATAGAATCGATCAAGAATAGTAAGAACACCTACAACTGAGTCAATATTGCCTTTGCAAAAGATAAGTAAATCATCAGCAAACGAGAGATGAGTAAGACCAATTTTCCTGTACTTTGGATGAAAACCAAACATTTCTCTTTCGGCAGCCAAATTAAGCATTCGGGATAAAATATTCATTGCAAGAATAAAAAGATAAAGGGATAGAGGGTCTCCCTGTCTTACGCCTCTAGCTCCTTTAAAATAGCCGATTAAGGTTCCATTAAAAGAAATGGAGAACCTTACTTGTGTGAAACATGCTTCGATCCAAGCAATGAAAGCAAGAGGGAGATTGAGAGCTTTGAGTATTTGAATGATGAATCTCCAGTGGATGGAGTTGAAAGCCTTATGAAGGTCAATCTTCAGTGCGCACCTTGGGGAAATGGATTTTCTTCCATAGCCTTTGATCATCTCCTGAGCAAGGAGGGAATTATCAATAATGTTCCTTCCTCTGATGAAAGCCGTTTGATTCAAAGTAATAATATCCGGGAGAAAATCAGTCAATCTTCTAACAATGATCCTTGTAATGATTTTATAGATAACATGTTGAAAACATTTTAATATTTCGATATAACAAATTAAGTTAAATGAATTTTAAGATTGTGCAATAAAGGTTTTCTAAGTATATTTGATATAATTATTCAAATATCAAAACATTACTCTAAATCTTTCAAAAATCATTTTTAATCCTTACTCAAGTGTAAAATTAAGTTTTAATCTTAAAACAATTTCAAAATAATTTTACAAAGTATTTCGAACAATTTCAAAGCCAAAAATCCAGATTGCTCAGAGGGAACCGATTCCCCCCCAAGGGGGTACCGATTCCCCCTTAATGGTTTGGCTCCAAGAATTCCAGTATGCTCGGAGGGAACCGATTCCCCCCGGGGTACCGATTCCCCCCTGTGTAACGGTCAAAATATTTGAATTTTACACTTAGGGAACCGATTCCCTATAGGGGGAACCGATTCCAAATAGGGGGTACCGATTCCCCCCACACTCCAAGCTGTTTTATTAATCGTTTTTACACTAAAACGGCTATATTATCTTTTCTAATCATCCCCAACGTTCAGAAGTGATTCAAGGTGTATTTAAGCAAGCTTATAAGCCATTGATCAAAAACAAGAAATATCAAGCAACTAGAATCAAGAGAGAATCAAAGAGAAAGCATCAAACCTCAAGTTTGAACATTTCAAGCCTATTTTTCATTCAATATTCATCTTGCTTTCAAGAACACTTATTGTGCTCAATTGTATTCAATTTTTAGTGTTCTTTTCTTTGTTCTAGAATTGTGCAAACAATCTACCTTGTGAGGATTTCCTTGTAAGTTTGTAAATTTGTATTGTTCTCTTTGGGAGAGAGTGTTCTCAAGAATTTGGGGTATAATTCTTGAGGGTTTGTAAGGTTACTCTTTGTCCTCAAAAGAAAGACGAATTAGTGAATTTGTGGAAAATCCTTAGTGTGGATAGCTAAGGTAGTGGACGTAGACTTTGGTTGAGAAATTTGAACCACTCTAAATCGCTGTGCAATTTCTTTCAATTTTCTGCAAAAGCTTCACCAAAATTTTTATTGCCATTTTACCCCCCTCTTGGCCAATTCCGTCAATCGATTAACTCAATCATTAGCATCAGAGCCTAACTTATTTGAAGGTTTAATCGTCTCTTGAGTCGATTCGGGAAGAGTTATATCGATAATCAAAGTCATCAATGGCCTCTACTTCAAACTTCGACTCCGGTCTCAATTCGATGCCCGTCAACAAGCCTCCTTTATTCAATGGGGCTAATTATGCCTATTGGGAAAATAGGATGATGTACTTCATTCAAGCAAGTGACATGGGAGCATGGAATATCGTAGAAGAATGATACTTCAAGCCTCTCACTCATCCAAGATTATGGAGTGAAGGAGAGACAAAAATGTTCCAGCTCAACTCCAAAGCCATCCATATCATATTTTGTGCTCTTGGACCAGATGAATACGAAAGAGTTTCATCTTGTACAACCGCCAAAGAAATATGGGACAAACTTCAAGTCACTCATGAAGGTACCGATGAGGTAAAGAAATCTAAAATTAGTATTCTAACGCATATCTATGAAAATTTCAGGATGAAACCAAATGAAGATATCAAAGCTATGACGGATAGATTCTCAATGATTGTCAATGGTCTCAAATCATATGGAGAGATCATTTCAAATGAAAAGCTTGTGAGGAAGTTAGTCTACTCCCTCCCAAAATCGTGGCAATCAAAGAAGGCGGCAATCATCGAGTCTAAGGATCTAACATCCTTAACTCTTGAAGAGCTAATCGGTTCACTCCTCACTCATGAAATAATGCTTGAAGATGAGGTAGATCTTGATAAGATTGAAGAGACACCAAAAGAGAATAAGAAGAAGAAAAACATTGGAGTTGCTCTCAAATCCACAAAAAATGAGAGTGATTCGGATGAAGATGACGATGACGAGGAAATGGCATTGTTTGCCAAACGGTTCAGAAAAATGATGAGACCTTACCGAGGAAGAAAATTTAAACGAAATGAAGGCATTAAAAATGAACCAAAAGAGAAGGACCCGATCATTTACTATGAATGCAAAAAGTCGGGGCATGTCAAATATGATTACCCACAATTGAAGAAAAATGGTCAATCAAATAATAAGCGTAAGGCTCATGTGGCTACATGGATCGATGAAGAAGGTTCCTATGAAGAGGAACAAGAATTAGCAAACTTGTGGTTAATGGCATTCGGGGAAGATTCTAAGGTAACCTCTAACTCATCTGATTTTGATGATTTATCCTATGATAAGCTATTAGAGGAATATAATGGGTTGGCTTCGGATTATGAGAAATTGTTTTTAAAATATAAAATGATGTTTCAAAATGAAAATAAACTCATATCCAAAACCAACAACGATCTTGAAAGTAAAATCAAAGATTTTTAAATCAACTAGAAGAGTTTGAAAAGAAAAATTTAGATTTGCAAAATTTACTTTCAAAAGTCAATGATGATCATCAAAAGAAAATTGATGATCTTAAAGCTTCTTTTGATAAAGTTGGAACAAAACGTTTTGAAAGTGGAGAAAATTCAAAATCCAACTTTGTTAGAAAAAGTTTTAAAAAACTACAATCATAGAGGTCCCCAAAGAACCTCTAATGGAAAAATCGTTAGAAGTATATGGGTTCCTAAGGAGCTCATTACTACTAAAGATAAGTATATCCTACACAAATGGATACCTAAGGGGACTAGGATTTTGGAAACTAATGAATATGGACCCAAAAGAATTTGGGTACCAAAAATTAGAAATTAATCTATGTTTGTAGGAAAATGAGCATTGCTACAAGGCACGGGAAACAAATCCAAATTCATGGTATCTTGATAGTGGATGCTCAAGACACATGACCGGAGACAAAAATTGGTTCATTGAGCTTAATGCCAAAAATGGAGGAGAAGTGACTTTTGGTGATGATTCAAAAGGTCACATTGAAGATATTGGTACTATTGGTAATACCTCTTCCATACAAATTAAGAATGTTTTATATGTGAATGGATTAAAGCATAATCTATTGAGTATTAGTCAATTTTGTGATAAGGGATTCAATGTCATGTTTGATATTAATGGTTGTAAAGTCATTGACATTACATCTAATCGGATTATACTTTTTGGTCATAGAATAGGAAACATATACATGGTGCATTTAGATTCTATTGATATGACTAATTTGTGCCTAGTTGCTAAGGATGAACATGATAGTTGTTTATGGCATAGGAGACTAGGACATGCTAGTATGAGTGTTTTGCAACGGCTAATTTAAGGTGATTTAGTTCTAGGGTTGCCTAAACTTAAATTTGATAATGATAAAATCTGTGATGCTTGTGCTAAAGGAAAACAAAAGCGAGTTTCTTTTAAATCCATTAATGACGTATCAACTAGTAGAGTATTACAATTGATTCATATAGATCTTTTTGGGCCAACTAGGACTACTAGCTTGGGTGGAAAACAATATGCATTTGTCTTGGTAGATGACTACTCTAGATATACTTGGGTTCTATTCTTAAATACTAAAGATGAAGCATTAGAAAAATTCATCACGTTTTCAAAAGTAATCCAAAACGATAAAGGTTACTCTATAACTAGTGTTAGGAGTGATCATGGCGTTGAATTTGAAAATCTTGGATTTACTGAGTTTTGTAATTCTAATGGTATTAGTCACAATTTTTCAGCACCTAGAACCCCTCAAAAAAATGGAGTTGTTGAGAGGAAAAATAGAACTTTAGAAGAAATGGCTAGAACCATGCTTTGTGAAAATAATTTGCCAAAATATTTTTGGGCGGAAGCCACAAATACCGCTTGTTATGTTATAAATCGAGTAATGATTAGGCCAATTTTAAAGAAAACTCCATATGAAATTTTCAAAAATAAAAAGCCTAACATTAGCTATTTTTATCTTTTTGGGTGTAAATGTTTTGTTTTAAACAACGGTAAAGAGAACCTTGGCAAATTTGATGCCAAAAGTGATGAAGGAATTTTTCTGGGTTATTCCTTAAATTCTAAAGCTTATCGAGTATTTAATAAAAGAACTTTAGTTGTAGAAGAGTCTATACATGTTGTTTTCGATGATAATCCCCTTCCGAGGAAGGATTCTTGTGTGAATGATGATGTAGGTGTTATAAATACAAATGACGTTAGACATGACGTTGGAGAACCATCATCAAAGGAAGAAACGAAAAATGAGGAAAATCATGATCCTCTTGAGAATCCAACCATTGAAAAAAGAGAAGTATCTTATCCAAGAGAGTACAACTATGTCAAGGATGGTGAAATTATAGGTGATCCATCCAAAGGGGTAACAACTCGATCTTCTCTTAGAAATATTTGTAATTATGTTGCATTTATTTCATGCATAGAGCCTAAGAATATTAAAGAAGCATTAAAAGATGAGCATTGGATTATGGCTATGCAAGAAGAATTAAATCAATTTGAGAGAAGTAAAGTATGGACATTAGTTGAAAGGCCTAGTAATAAATCTACTGTAGGTACTAGATGGGTATTTAGGAATAAGCTTGATGAGAGTGGTAATATAGTGAGAAACAAGGCTAGACTTATTGCTCAAGGGTATACTCAAGAAGAGGGCATAGACTATGATGAAACATACGCTCCTGTAGCTAGGATGGAAGCAATTAGAATGTTACTAGCATTTTCATGTTTTCATGAATTTAAATTATATCAAATGGATGTTAAAAGTGCATTCTTAAATGGTTTTATAAAAGAAGAAGTGTATGTGGAACAACCTCCAGGTTTTGAAGATTCAAAATTTTCGGATCATGTTCTTAAATTGACAAGCACTTTATGGTTTAAAACAAGCTCCAAGAGCTTGGTATGAAAGATTGTCAAATTTTTTAATTGAAAAAGGTTTTTCAAAAGGTAAGGTTGACACTACATTGTTTTTAAAGCATAAAGGTAAATATTTATTAGTAGTTCAAATTTATGTTTATGATATAATATTTGGTTCTACTAATGATGTTCTTTGCCAAGAATTTTCCAAGCTAATGCAAAGTGAATTCGAAATGAGCATGATGGAGGAGCTCTCATTTTTCTTGGGACTCCAAATCAAGCAAAGAAAAGATGGCATCTTCATCAATCAAGCTAAGTACATCAAAGATATGCTCAAGAAGTTTGGACTAGAAAATGACAAACCTCATAACACTCCAATGTGCTCTTCAACAAAGCTTGACTTATATGAAGGAAGTAAATGTGTAGATGTTAAATTATATAGGTCAATGATTGAATCTCTACTTTATCTAACTGCAAGTAGACTGGACATTATGTTTAGTCTTTTCTTATGTGCTAGATTTCAATCATGCCTTAAGGAATCACATTTACTAGTTGTTAAGAGAATCTTTAGATACCTTAAGGACACTCCTAGTTTAGGACTTTGGTATCCTAGAGACTCTAGCTTTAGCTTGCATGCTTTTTCTGATGCGGATTATGGAGAATGCAAATTAGATAGGAAAAGCACCTCCGGTACTTGCCAATTCCTTGGAAATATGATGATTTCTTGGTTTTCAAAGAAACAAAATTGTGTTGCATTATCTACCACTGAAGCCGAATACATTTCAGCTGGTAGTTGTTGTGCACAGGTTTTATGGATGAAACAACAACTTTTTGATTATGGAATTGAAGTTGGTATCATTCCTATCAAGTGTGGTAATACTAGTGCTATTTTTCTCACTAAAAATCCTATCCAACACTCTAGAACTAAGCACATTGAAATAAGACATCACTTCATTAGAGACCATGTCACTAAGGAAGATGTAGTTCTAGAATTTGTTGATACTTTGCACCAATTAGCGGATATCTTTACAAAACTTTAGACAAGGAAATATTTTGGACACTTAGGAGAGAATTAGGTTTGACCAACCTATCTTCACTTAGTGTTTAAATTAATTTTAGCACTTTTAAGACTAAAAATGCTAATTTTTGATTGCATTCATTGTTATTAGTTAGGGGGAGTTTATGATTCTTGATGAAAAATTAATTTTATGTTCAAATATCATTTAAAGAATAATTTGATTGTTTTAACATGATTAATTTTCAATATATGAGTTGTCAATACCACTAGAGAAAATTAATTTAGCATTTTGTGTGTTTAAAATCGGATTTTAGCATTTTGGTGCAGAGGGAATTGATACCCCCATGAGGGAACTGATTCCCCCTTTGAAGGGGAACCGATTCCCCCCACAGGGGAATCGATACCCCTCTGGGGTTCTGGTTTTATCAGGCAGAACCTCATTTTCTTTGCTCAAACCATCTTCTCTTCACGCCATTTCTTCCCTCTAACCTCTCAAATCTCCATTTTTGCCTCAAATCATCGGTTTTAATTGGAAATCACTTCAAATATCATCTTCTAAACTTGCTATCATCATTAAAATGTGCAAACAACATCAAAATCCACTCAATCTCATCCTTCAAGGTAAAATTTTCTAAACTCTCTATTTTATCAATTTATGAACATATAACTAGTTTTAATTAGTTCTAGGTTGAACTTTAGATCGGGCATTGATTGTTTAGTGATTAGAAACTAGATATTACAACTAATTTCATCAAAAACACAAGAATTTTCCAAAATATTTAAAATTTTCGAAATAAAAAAAATTTGTTTTTCAAATTATTGTTTTTTGATTCAATTATGTTGTTGTTATGAAAACTATACATATATTGTTTTTCAAAATCTTATTTTTCAAACAGTTTTCAAAAACTTTGCCCATTAGAATTGAATTAGAGAACCTTGAAATATTGAGGACTCAATTGAGTTTTAGGATTAATTGAATTGCATACATGTGTTTTCTAAATTGTAGGTTATCCATCCTATTTCGATTTCCTAAACCATGTCCAATCCTAAACGTGCTAGGTCATCATCTAGTCGCTCAAACCGTCAACCAAATCCACCTCCAAATCCTCATCCTATTCCTGAAAATCCAATTCCTAATCCTAATCCCATTGATCCTAATTTGACTATCCAAAATTCGTGCTTTAATCATCATGGTCCTAGAAATCATCGTTTTTGGTATTATCAATATTTTGACTCTTACAAAATTAGAGAAGAATGTATTCCTTCTCGTCAAGCTATGTTAGATATTAATTTTAAATAACTTCCTCTTTTAAAAGAGTGGAAATTTGACAAACTTTTTGATCTTGAACCCATTATCTACCATCAACTTGTTCATATTTTCTATTATAATGTCGTTTGTGTTAAAAACCGAACTGAAACCGAAACCATAGGAATTCGTTCCTACCTCCTAGGACAATTCATATATATTGACTCGGCTTACATAGCCAATGCATTCGGATTAGATAATGATGGTATTTCAAATGAGAAACAAATCTTAGGATCTCGTTATAAAAGAAGGGATAGTGCAAGTGTCTTAGACCTTCATGAATGTTTTCTTCATCTAATGATTTCTTGGTAGTTTCGACCATTCGGAGGTCGTTATTCTACTCTTAGAGCCTTGGATCTTTGGTGGTTATATTGTTTTGAAAACAGTATTAAAATAAACCTACCTCAGATCATTTTTGCTGAAATTGTTGAAACTCTAGTTTACGGTTGCATTCTGAGTAACCTATTTTATAAAGTCGGGATTAGAGTTGGTCTAGATGCCTCCTTACCTTTAAAGAAACAAATTAATCTTCTTTCCTTAACAAGAGCGGGATGGATAAAGGATAAGGAAACCGGTGAATGGATTCGATCGTCTGAACATACTCCGGGAGCTAGTTCTTCACGAGCTCAACCAGAAGCTGACGATGATCCCGAGCTTCAACAATTAATGCGAGACATCGATGAAGCCGAAGATGAGCCTGAGCAGCCCGAGGAGCAAGCACAACAAACGCATCAAATGCCTCCATATTTTCAATCCTCTATGGAGACATTCGATTTCCGATATGCTACCATGGATTCGCGCTTTACTTCTATAGAGTCCCATTTATCCACAATGGGAGCTCAACAATTAGAAATTCTTCGGGAGATGCGTGCAAATAACGAAGCAACCAACGCGCGTATTAATGAACTCACTCACGAAATGGCCGCTATGCGAGCTCGTTTTCCTCCTCCCGATCCGGATGTTTGATTCTATGTTTAGTTTTAAAACTTTAAACTAAAAAATTATTGCTTGAACATTTTGAATATTTTGGAATGTTTGATTTTGAGGATTGTTAGACTTTTGATTTATTTGGACGTTTGAGCTTATATATTTGGCTTAGTTAAATTTATTGCATCATTTACATCATTTTAGAAATATGACCAATTTTGCCATGTCACATTAATTATGAATATTGATTATGAAACTAATGGCTAACATTTCTCTTGATTGTGATCTTAGCAGCTTAAACTATATTCAATTGGCTAAATGATTTCAAAACCTTGTTTAAATTCTTTACAAATATCTTTTTGATTTAACAAAAAGGGGGAGAAGTGTTAAATGTTTTAAAAGAGGAGTAAGTGTTAAAGTAAGGGGGAGTAATTTTCAAAAACGTCGGTTTTTGATTTCAAAATCTTAAAATTAATAAAATGTTTTGTTATATCAAAAAGGGGAAGATTGCTGAAATTTTTTTGATATTTCGATCTAACAAATTAAGTTAAATGAATTTTAAGATTGTGCAATAAAGGTTTTCTAAGTATATTCGATATAATTATTCGAATATCAAAACATTACTCTAAATCTTTCAAAAAATCATTTTTAATCCTTACTCAAGTGTAAAATTAAGTTTTAATCTTAAAACAATTTCAAAAATAATTTTACAAAGTATTTCGAACCATTTCAAAGCCAAAAATTCCAGATTTCTCAGAGGGAACCGATTCCCCCCTTAATGGTTTGGCTCCGAGAATTCCAGTATGCTCGGAGGGAACCGATTCCCCCCTGTGTAACGGTCGAAATATTTGAATTTTACACTTAGGGAACCGATTCCCCATAGGGGGTACCGATTCCCCCTACGCTCCAAGCTGTTTTATTAATTGTTTTTACACTAAAACGGCTATATTATCTTCTCTAATCATCCTCAATCAGAAGTGATTCAAGGTGTATTTAAGCAAGCTTAGAAGTCATTGATCAAAAACAAGAAATATCAAGCAACTAGAATCAAGAGAGAATCAAAGAGAAAGCATCAAACCTCAAGTTTGAGCATTTCAAGCCTATTTTTCATTCAATATTCATCTTGCTTTCAAGAACACTTATTGTGCTCAATTGTATTCATTTTTTAGTGTTCTTTTCTTTGTTCTAGAATTGTGCAAATAATCTACCTTGTGAGGATTTCCTTGTAAGTTTGCAAATTTGTATTGTTCTCTTTGGGAGAGAGTGTTCTCAAGAATTTGGGGTATAATTCTTGAGGGTTTGTAAGGTTACTCTTTGTCCTCAAAAGAAAGACAAATTAGTGAATTTGTGGAAAATTCTTAGTGTGGATAGCTAAGGTAGTGGACGTAGACTTTGGTTGAGAAAGTCGAACCACTCTAAATCGCTGTGCAATTTCTTTCAATTTTCTGCAAAAGCTTCTACCAAAATTTTTATTGCCAATTCAACCCCCTCTTGGCCAATTCCGTCAATCGATTAACTCAACATAACAGAGCAACAAGATATTGGACGATAGTCTTTTACTGCACTCGGATTTGGAATTTTAGGAACCAGAGCAATAATGGTAGAGTTAAAAGCTGGGTGAATTGTAGCATTGAGAAATAAGAACTTAACTGCAACAACAACATCCTCGCTCACTATATTCCAAGAGTTCTTAAAGAAAAAAGGCTTGATGAAGCTTGATAAGGAAATGAGTAATTGAGAAGATCTTTAAGAAGGTTAGGATCGACATCTTTGACCATGTTGTCGGCTGTTCCAATCAGATTAGAGTAAAATGAGATAATTTCTTTCGACATTGCTTCAAAGGACTCCAATCTATTGCCTTGATCATCAACAAGAACGCGAATAGTATCCCTCTTGTTTTTAAAAGCAATCGTTGAATGGAAAAATTTGGAGTTTTTATCCCCATATTTAATCCACTGCACTTTTGCCTTTTGGTTAAGGAACGCAACTTCGTCAGCTTCCAAAGTATACAACTCTTCTTGTAAAAGAAGTTCCTTCTCGATAGTTTCTTGTCCCTTTAAAGTGAGAAGTTGTTGATTTTCCAGCTCAATTCTTTTAACCTTGACTCGATCTGAGAGCATGTTGTAATTCTCCTTATTAAATCTCGTAAGACACTGTTTGAGTCTTTTAAGTTTCGTAAGGAGAATTTGCATAGGATTACCATGAGCAGGTTGGAGCCAAGATTGACTTACTACTTTTATGAAGGTTGGATGAGCAGCCCAAAAATTGAAGAATTTAAAAGGCTTTGACTTGTTAACAGGAACTTCTTTGAATAGCCATGTTAGAGACATGCAATGGTCAGAGACTCCTGGTGCTATGAACTCGACAAAAGAGTGCAGGAAGATAGAAGCCCAATAAGAATTTATCATGACCCTGTCAAGTTTCCTTGCAAGAAAAAAGTCTTTTGTTTGTTGGTCCAGGTGTAAGAAGGTCCAAAATAAGGGTGGTCATGGAGTTCAAGTTCATGAGCTAAGTCTTGAAAGTCTTTTATATCTGAGGTGAGATAATGGCCAAGGACTTCATGATCAGTGCTTTCATGGGAGTGCATGATAATATTAAAATCTCCTCCTAAAACCCAAAGAGACTTGTTAACAGTAAGATCAACTTCTCTTAATGTTTGCCACAGTTGTCTTCGAGCAGTACCATCATTACTTCCATATATAGCTGAAATAATCATTGGAGTACCTCGGTGAGATCCTCTAACAGTAATGCACTGAGCAGAATTTTGAATGACAGACAGATTAATACTCTTCCTCCAAAGTACCCAAATTCTTCCATTACTAGCATGGTCGTAGTTGAAACAGAAATTCTAGTTCTGAAATTTAGAAGCAACGATCACCTCTGTTTAGTCCACCTTCACTCTAGTCTCCAATAAACAAAGGACGTCGACATTATTATGGGTGGCTCGAAGAGCCACTTTATTCCGCTTTAGGGGGATGTTAAGTCCTCTAGTGTTCCAAAAACTAATTATCATTGAGAAGGTGATTCTAAAGAACTCACTTGACCTCCAGACGTGATACCTTTAGCTCTCTCAAGATGATGCTTCTTCTTTGATTTTAGTTCCTTCACTAATTCTACTACTCCCAAAGATACAACCCTGGGTTTTCTTTAGAAGCTTTCTAAACTGTTAGGAATCTCTTCAGCAGAATTTAGAAGTTCAAATATGTTGGACGAACCTGAAAACTGAGTTTTAGCATTTTCTTTCAATGGTCTTACTCTACCCCTTTTAAGCACTGCTGGTTGAACATTTCCTACTTCATTGGCTTCAGTTTGCTCATGGGATACGTGGTATGAAGTAGGAACATTAACACTACTTGAATTAGCAGCAACATCTTCTGTTGTATTTTTAGCAGCAGCATCATTAGCAAAATTAAGCTCTTCGATTTGATCAGGGACATTAACTTCAATCGCAACCTCCTTACACCTTACAATAACTTCACTACCAACAACAATTTCCTTCTTAGCTGCATCAATTGAGTCATTGATAATTTGCAAATTTACTTTAGCAGTAGCAGTAGAATGGCACGCAAATTTCTCAGGTTCTTGCAATACTTCTATCCCTCCAACATGAGTGGTTATTTCTGACTTCTTCTTCCAGACTTGAGGGATAGTTTGGTTAGAGGTAGTTTTAAGCACACAACCTTTCTCGTTGTGACCAAAAACATTACACCTCCTACAAGAATGTGGGAGCCAAGGAACCTCGACATTAATCGATGATGTTTGTCCATCTTTCAGAACTACCTCAATGAGCTTAGGAATAGCATCTTTAACACCTATTTCTACACAGACTTTTACAAATTCAAGTCTGGTTTTCTTTGCAATGATAGTGTCCATGGAGATAGGAACTCCAATGGCACTTGCAATATAGCTTAATCCTGTTCTGGAGAATAATTCAAGGGGAACATTGAACAGGTGTACCTATACTGGGATTTTAGACAAGTTAAAACTAAGTCTTTTAAGGTTAGGTTCCTAATTCCTAAGGATTAAGGGTTTGTTATGCACATGCCATTGACCATTTTGCAATACCTAATCTCTAGCCGATTCACTGCTAAAAGAAAAAATAAAGGTATTGTTCCCAGCAGAACTGACCTGTAATTGGGATCCCAGCAGAGCTTTACTCCATAGGCTTTCCATTGTCCGTTGAAGAGAGGTGAAGCTTGGAGCTACTCCTAGAAATTGGCCCACTAGGGAAAGCCTCCACTCGGAAGTTCCTTCTTCAAGTATCTCTGAAGGTGGGCATACAGTCGGAATACCATCGCTTAGGTTGGGAGAAAAATAGTCTAGGTTTTGGTCTGTCGAGCTTCCAAACAACTTACGCCAATCCATTTATCAAGCAATGAATCGCAACGAACCAGAACAAGAAGAACAACAGTAAAGAATTAGATTGAAATTGGAATTTTAAAATTCAAAATATATGGGATTAGAATTGCATAAATTCGAGTACATGGATAAAATCAACAGTAATACATAGTACAGTAGCTAATTAAAGAATTTGATCATTTTTCAATAATTTTTTCTTTCATTTTCCTGCCTTCTGAGAAAGGATTCAAGGAGTAAATAATTCCCTGGGGGGAAAAACGGTGAGAAAGAGAAATCCCAAAGTGGTAAAGAAGCTTTTGGATCAATCCAAGATCTTCTAATCTTTTCCTTGCAGAAAGAAACTTTCCCGCTTGATTCTCACACTGAAAAAAGAAGGAAATATAATCAAATTACATATTTTATTTCATATTTTGAGAAATATTGAGTAGAACGAAAGGTGAAGATGAATGTATTCAGATTAGCAGGGGACATGACCCATTTGCTTAGTGTTCTCGTTTTTCTTCTCAAGATCCACACAATCAAATCTTGTGCTGGTACGTTCATTTTCCAAATATTTACTTTATTTTTTATGGCTTCAATTCATTATATTTTGTTCTTCTTCATTTTCAGTAATTTTCTGCACAAGATAAAAATAATCAATGCTTAGGTTAAATTGTTTGTGGGTTTTTGTTAATTTATTCTTTTCTCTGAATTTTTTAACATTTTATTGAATACCCAAATCAGAATCATGTAAAATGTTGAACTGTAGCTTGATATAAATGCGGCATTTTCATATGTCTTTATTATAGAATCTTGTATCTTTCTGTGTTAATTTCTAGTAATTTGAATTTGTATGTTCGGTGGAAGTTTAGAAGCAAGGAGGTGTTATAAGTTAGGACTTAATGTGATGCATCTATTTTAAGTTAGAAGTTTAGTTTGTTGTTGGATTTAGTGACACTATTAAGTTCAAGGGGTTAGCTTTAGGTGGATTTTGGAGGGTTCTTGGTTTGTTAACTTGGGAGTCTGTAACCCCCCAGACCGATACAGGTAGCCCGATCTGATCCAGGAAGTCACATTAGGGCCACCGGAGCGACCCACTGTAAAAATAGCAGAAAATTTAAATCTTTTTATCCGAACATGTAAACTTATAAAATCATTTGTCACTATTTAAAAATAAAACATATTTCCAGACTCGTATATAAATCAAAATACAATTACATGCCCCCTAATCACATGTACCATACTCTGCTACAACGCCGGAAAAACTCCCTTACTGAAGTCGATAGATGCACTGGTACAATTCTTTTAACCTGAAAAGGTGAGTAATAGAATGAGCTTCGAAAAACTCAGTAATACAGAACTACCATATGATGCTGGAAAACGTGCAGATACAGATAAACATATTTTCCTTATTGGTTCAGATATTTACAGATTTTTATACTGAGCAGGGATCCTACTGATATTTCAGGTGCTAACGGACAATGAGCTTTCAGTTCAGATAAATAATTCGGATGATTGAGTTCAGGAGTTCAGAATAGGTTTTCTAGTGTGTTCCCGAAAAATTCAGTAAAAAGATACAGATCTTTTAAAACATATATATATATATATATATATACCCCCATCCGTTCACATCATAAATGTGTAGGTTCCCCAGAACCATACACCCAACCGCACATGCCATTTAGACCCTGAGCACAAAGCCGAGGAGTCTGCAGATAATCTTCCTCCAACAATAAACCCCCAGATAAAACATTTCTCCGTCGGTAAACGGAGATATCAAAAATCAAAACATAATTCAGATCAGATATCATAACAGAATCCAGGTTAGGAATCAGAACAGATTTCAGATCAGATGTCAAAACATAATTCAAATCAGAAATCAGATAAAATATTCATATAAGTAAGGGACACACTAGAGTTTCCAAATATTATTTAGAGATACAGGATAATCTTATCGGGCATAGAAACATAAATCTTTAGTCTACCGATAGAATGTTGAAATTTAGAATCACTATTGGAAGAGTTCATTAACTGACAGAATCATCAGTTATTCAGAATGTGAATTATCAGGATCATATCTTATTCGGACAGTTTTCAGAAGTTGTACGTAATCAGAAGGGTATTCAGAATCCTTTGTATCCATGTCAATAGATCGGATAATCGAACAACTTGATAACGAAGATTCAGAACCTTAACAATTTATATCCACTGGTCAATTCATTTCCCTTCCAGGGTAGTTACTTTTTAATACCACAGATTCTTATTCATAGATCACCTTCAGAATCATCGCTGAATAGATCTTCCAATGATCTTTATTTCATTTCCAAGCTTCCACGATATCATGAAATACTGACGTGCTTGATTTGTAGTTCATGTTCCATAAGGACAGTACATCTTATAAACTCATCAGAATTTCCAGACTTATCCAATTCACTTACTTAATCCTCGATCATTGAGGTTACTTAGCTTATTTAGCAGTCAAATCCATTCCAGTTACTTCAGGGTTTTTTAGAGTAATTTAGACGTTACTGAATTTTAGATACATGTTGTACTTCCATTCCATTCGATTTGGTCTTCATGGTTGATTTGACTAACAAACGTCCAATTCATAGTACTGAATGCGATCTAGAGTTGAGTTGAGTTGAATACTTCCAAAATTATCATCGAGCCAAACTTAAGAAGACGAACACGCATTCCAGTAATATCTATATCATTCAGGTATTGACATAGATTTAGGGTTGATCTACTCACTTAAATTGTTTTCCATTACCTTTAAAGGTAGTCCAATACTTATCTTACTTGGATTCCTTAATTAATCCAAGACATTTACTTAATTTAGGCCATAAGGGTATTTTGGTAATTTTGATGTTCAGTTTTATTCCATTCATTTCAGAGCTCGAGGATATTCAATCATTCCTGAGCTTGGTGATATTCTTGGGTCATTTCTATTACAGGGGTATTTTGGTCATTTTACAGATTCACGGTATTTCAATCTTTTCCTTCCATCCGATCTTATTATTTAATTCAATCTTATCATTTACTTCAGTCCTTTCGAACAATTCTGACAGCA